CTGGCATGTATTTATGATGGTTACAGTGTCCTGGGATCATGTGATCACCTTCTGAGATCCTCTGACAAGCAAAGTCAATGAAGAAGCCAGATTCCCTTAACAACCACGTTACAAACATAACAATTACAATGATTCAACTGCGGCAAGAAAGGTCATAAAATGGAGCAAAACTCTCTTAACAACTGTCTTTCTTAGCAACAGAAATTTTGGGCACAATTGTGGTCATAAATCAAGGACTACCTCTATGTATAACAGACTTCAGGAAGTATATAGTAGGTCCCTTATAAAATGCATTCAACTAACATCTTTCTTCAATGGAACTTCTGGATGCTTCCTAAACTTCCTTTTTATCTTTCCCTGCAAATGAGTCTTCAGAGAAGGAATTATGACATTGGTTCTTTAAACTGATAACTAAAGAATAACTTGAAAGTACATGTTGGGAAATATATCTCATGTTATAACCATGCAAAATTATTTGACAAACATAAATCCAATTAGCATTTGATAAATAGAACAAAGTTACTTGAGTTATTTCAGAGCTTTTCAAGAATTTCTTACAAATTTACCTTTGATCAATGCTTCTCTTTCCTCTTGCTGCATTTTTTGTTGAACTCGGTTCAACACTATAAAAACAAAAGATGTATTTTTTATTTTTTATTTAGAAAAGTGCCTTCTGCAGAAGATAGTATATTTCCCTTCCATCCTGTCAAGGACCTACCTTACATGAACCACACATACGTTATAATTCCAGCTCCCCATGGTCTGGATTAACTAGAAAACAGAAAAACAATGCAAAGGTTAAAATGCATAAAATTGTTGAAACTGTTAATTTTTGCATTACATTCAGTTTACATGAATTTATTTTCATAGAATCTGAGTTTATTTTCATATAATCATCATCATGATAATTACCAGCACAAAAATCATGCTGTGCCCTTTTACAGCAAGCCAAAGAAATTACAGAGGATCTTCGGCAGGGAACATAGCTAAGATCAACAACTTTCACCATATACAGTACTTCTGCCCTTGCTTTTACTACACTGATAAAGCACTTTATACATTACCTTTTGTTCTTCATCATATTTTCTTGTGAGTTAATTGTAGAAAAAAGTAGGTAAAGCACAGAACAACAGGCTACGGAAATCAAATTTAAGAGCAGAAAATCAAGAATTCTGAAAGGCATGGTGATATTTCTTAGTGATAATGTTCTCTTCCTGACCTATACTTTCACTACCAATATAAAGCACTAATAGGAGACTATTAATCATCAATTGATACATGAAGTAGGTTTAGATAAAATGCTTTGTTATTAATCCTTAAAAGTAGTGAGAGAAATCTAAATACAAGAAGAAAATCTGCATGCAGAAGTCTTAGCTGGGGCTCTTACTCAAACAATATCTCAATGGCACTGCTGGCAAATTGATAACCTTATAGCTTATATGACATATAACCTCGAGGGGAGATGAGTGAAAAATAAATTTAATAAATAAATAAATGACTTTTGAACATTACCAATCCAGCTTCCATTTGTCCTTAAGAACTGGTAACCCTTTAAAAACATTTTTAACAGTGAAATAAATAATAATTCTATCACTGCCATCACCAACAAAAAGGTCGTGATTATACAGTGATAGTAAACCTACATAAACTGTGGTGAAAAAGTAAATTAGAAGTGACAAAAGGCAAAACCAGTCTGGTGTAATGGTTAAGGTACCAAGCTAGAAAATTTCTTATCAAAACGGAAATTGATCTATATAGGACATTGATTTGAACCCAATGTGAACTTTATAGCTGGATAAAACTAGTTTGTATGAGTTAAAGATTTTTTTTACTCCAGTGCCTGGGTAAAAAGCCAGGTCTTGATGGCCTTCTGAAAAGCTAAAAGGATGGGGGCCTACTAAATCTCTATGGATTTTGAAAGTTAAGAATAAAAAGCAGTATTTCAGATAAACAGTATATACATCTGAACAAATAGTCTAGAAATTACCAGCTCTAAATCATGTTTTTTAAAAATTAATCTTTAAAATTTTAAAGATCATACTTTTAAATTAATATTTTAAAATGTATTTAAGTACATTTTTTTCAAAAGCACACTTAAAATTTATATACAATGGTTTGAAAAATAGTCTAACTTACCCATTCTCTAATTACATTCTGAATGTTTGGCTCTGCATCTTCTTTGATTTTGTAGACAGTAAAGTCAATTCTGTAGTATAATCTACCTAGGCATTACAAAAACAATTTAAATGTCAGAATTATAACTCTTAAATATATAAAATTCTCACCAAGACCTATCACCAAACCAGTGGTAAAGCCACAACACTGATCATGCTTTTAAAACTTAATTTTTAGTATGGGATAAAATTTTCAGAAAAACTACATCATTATGGAGGTATTAAATTTTATAAAAAACCCAGCACATTTGGGGTTTTCTTTATCAAACACCTTTAAAACTCTTTTTACAAATGTGATATTTCTTACTGTAATAGATTAGGGCTGTAGAATATTTTTCTCCCCAAACATATAGCTTAAGAGTTTATTAAACTATGTAAGAAACCCCTTCTCAACTGGAAGAGATAATTGTTGTGTATTGAACCAGAAGGACCACCCCCACCTTCAATTATCCTATAAAATAAACAATTTGCTAGCTGACTGATACACAATTGTGAGCTCTGTACATATCAAATATAGCACACACAAAGGATGAAATATGTTGTGGTCCGCCGGCAGCCTGTGGAACTGGTAGCAGAGTCAGACAGTGGGGAGGAACGTGGGCCAGTTCTGGAGTCTGGGGAGGGCTCGGATGAGGGATCTGCATCTGACACAGAAATGGGGGGAGGGCCATCTGAGAGTTATGTGTTGATTCTGGAGCCTCCAGAATCTGATGTCAGCGAGGCAGAGGAATAGGGGGAGCCTGTTCCCAGTGTGCACTTGTGCAGAGCTGCCAGAAGGCAAGAACAGTTAAGACAAAAGGGGAACTCGGGAGTAAGCCTTGGGGATGATTGGCCCCTCCCATAAGACATAAAAGAGGAGCAAAGTGACATGAGCCTTTGCAGGAAGCAACTTTGTTTGTTCTGGTCGGTTTAAAATCTGAAGTTCTGTGTTGACTTTGTGCTCCGTTTGGCCTTGTACAGCTAATTGGCAATTTAGTTGTTGGCAGCATTTCAAGGGAGATAAAGGTGAGTGCTTATCAGCCTTATCCTGAAAGACTGTGGCAAACTTCTATACAATGCCTTAAATATGTTTGAACCAATTTTCTATGAACACAATATCTCTTTTACAATATATCTTTCTAGAAATGAATTATTCATGTGCTTTGTGAAAAATACCATTTATTTTATATCACACTGAATGGGAAAACTCTACTCTCTAAATAGCAGAGCAAATTCAAATCTACTGCTTCTGAATAATGATTTCTGAAACATGTTTCTTGAGGTTAGTATGAAGAACTATGCTTTACTCTCAGGAGACTATCAATTGACAATATTAAAAGAATTCAAAACACACTTTCCACTGAAGGTTCCACTCATATTATTTTTTAAGATCACTGTTTCAAAATATTTAGATTACAGTAATTTAAGTAAAATAAAAATCAAGCAAAACTGTTTTTTTATTTAAATATATTTAAACATTATTAGACAGTGATTTCTCCTGTTCATTTTGTTGGATATTGTTTTTTTAATCAGTTTAAAAAACAACACTTCTGTAGATTCAATGTATTTTTTCTTTATGCACAGCAAGACATATAATAGAGAAAGACAGAGATTCCATGTTTTGGTTCAGAAGCAAGGATTTAGCATCTCAGTGGAAAGAAGTGGAAGAAGGCATATGGAGAAGATAATTTGATATGATTTCTCTCTCATATTTTCTGATCAAACTGTAATTATTTGTCTTCATTAGATTTTTACAAAACAATCTCCACTGAATAGGAGAAACAGTTAATTTGATTGTCACAATAGTCTCCTCAAAGATATTGAATTAGTAAACAGAATGGTAGTGATTAGAATCGTATGCTAAAGTTCTACACTTTGATCACTGATCATTTTAATATGGTATAAATGCATTTTTGATAAATTTCTATTGCTGTAATGTTTCTATTGCTAAGCATGAAGTCTAATTTAGCACCAGTAATTCTAAATTCTATTTATACGTCTAACAGAAAAGACATTTTTCATTCTACATCTAGCTTCACGTTTTGACCTACTGTATTTGACCTCAGCTCCACATGGGCAGTCCCAATCCATGAAGGAATTACATAAAAAATAAGTCGAAAGGTATTTGCTGGTAGGAGTCAATGTTGTTTTGAACACAATACTTTGATTGGCGTCTGGTGCTGTATTGGTCAGAGCAGTTTCATGAACTGATATATCCACTGCGTTTTGAATGTCTGAGTTGTGATTATGGAATATCATTCCACTGTTTGATACATTTTCATCAAAATACTTAATAGATTCATTCAACAAGGAAGACTGAGCCATCATATCAGTGACTACTGAAATTGTGGCTTGTTCCAAAAGGGAAGAATGGTTTACTAGTTTTTCATATTTCAAATCTTCAAAAGAGGAACCAATTGTCTGGTCATAAAAATCAGTTAGACTAACATTACTTGGATTCAAAGATGTCAATCCTTTCTTAATGGGATCATCAATAGATTTGCTAGAACTGTGATGCACTTTCCAAACAACTGTTTCTTGTTTTGGAACAGTAACTTTTATTTTCGTATCAATATTTTTGTGATCCGTATCACCAAACTCTTCTGCGTGACCAGGTTGAAGAAATAGTATGTCTTTGCTTTCTAAATTGTTTGGATCATTATGTTCATTTTCAGAAAGGTGTGTTTTATCGAGGGTGCTTGTTTCCTGAACTGGCTTTTCATTCCACAAATATTCTGAATCGAGAAAATGTTGATCAAGGTTATTTAGAGGATTCTGTGAAATTGAAGCATCTGAAATCATTAAAGCTGCTGAATTTTTGTCAAACTGTGCAATTATTCCATGACTATTGGTAGGCAGTATTTCTGAAGGCAATGTCCTTATAAACAAATCAGATATTTGTGCATGTTGTTTTTCAAAAAAAACATTATTCATATGTGAATGTGCTGCATTTTTCATATAATCAGAAGCACTTGTAAGCTGACTAATCTGTAAGTCTGTATATACATTTTGTGTCAGTTCCTTAAAATGTACTGGACTTGGGGATAAAACTTTGCAGGTATCTTTTACACAGGAAGATTCAAAAAATGGTGTAGCTGATGTTTCAGCAGATTGAACAAAAGTTATTAGCTGATCATCTGGGATTTTCTCTGTAGTCTGTTGCATGGCTAAATTGGCAGTAATTTTTAAATCATTAGTAAACCTTCCTTGTAATATATCATAAGTTCTAATCTGTAAATGCAAGGAAGGCTGAATCAAAGGTGTTATCTGGGAAGTTAAGGGAACATGAACAGCTGAAATATCATTTATGGATCCATTTTTGCTAAGAAGAGGGACTGATTTTGTTGCTGTTCTTTCAATAACATCTGAAATCCTTGATGAGTCCATTGCAAAAACTGAACTGAAATTATCTTCTGATGTATTAGGAAAAATGTATAGCTTTGAAACATTATGGCCTACTAGTCTATTATAAGGAATTGTTTGCATGGTGATATCATCTATTTGTGTAGGAGACATGAAAAAAGACATTGTCTCTGTTAGGGAAGAATATGATTGATTATACGAGGACAACCATCTTCCAGTAGATTCTAGAGGATCATTAACCATAGTCCAAAAGGAAGTATTTATGTATTGTGTTGGAAGACTTACATCATTAATTGTGAGAAAAGAAATGTCATTATATGGACTGCTAGATGTATTATTTTCTACATATCCTGCTCCAGAAATCACTTTTGAGTTTGACTTGAAATCTTCCAATAGAAATGAAAACGAAGATACATCATTATTGTAAGAAATTAACTTATCCAGAAGCTCAAATTCATCTTCTAGAGATGAACCTTCCTGTTCTTCTAAATTATCTAATTGCTCAGTGAGAGGATTAAGTGCAAAAAAGTCACTTTTGAAAAAAGCTCTATTGTATGTTTCTTGATAGAAAGGCGAAACAGAAACAGTTTGCTGAATTTCAGAATTTCTGCCTCTTGCTTTTGGTAAACTTGATGATAAATGTAATTCTTTACTATATTCCACTGACATGAAGACTTCTGTTGGATGGATTCTGGGCATAACATCTGGAAACCAGGCCTTCATGTTTTGTAATGAACCAGAAGGATTTGCACTGTGTTTAAACAGTTGTTTTATAAAATGTACTGAATTATAATCTCTTATGTGATTCAATGTTGTAGTCTGTAAGTAATCTACAATATAAAAGCTATTCCTAAGAGAATCCTCTTGTAGAAATCTATTTGTGGGCTGCAGGTAGATACTTTCAAGTAATTTGTTTAATAAGCCAAGCATTGTTTCTTTAACTAATTCTTCAGGGTATATATAGTATTGATGAATAAGAGAAGAAAGGTTTTCTTCTGGAAGTCTGGAAATAAAATACTCATAAGTTGCATTTTCCTTCCATGCATTTAAAGGCTGCAAGAAATTGTTAGCATAATTATACACAGAAGAAAATGTATAGCTAATAGAAGATAGCATCCACTGAGGCTCTTCTGTAAGTTCAAAAAAACCGTTTTTGTTCACCAGTGAAGGAAACAGTACATTTGATCTAGAATCTTCTATCTCATCACTTCCACTCTGTTGAATATGAAATCCTAAATTCCTGATGTGATCAAGTGGGAGAGTTGGTGTTTTCTGTGAAATACTACTCTCACTTAGCACGCTTTCAGAATGTCCTGAGATGTTACTAAAGTATGTCACCTCGATGGAAGAATTATAATTTATGTTTACTTGTTCTGTGAAAGGGCCCAAGCTATTAATTTGCATTTCTGTAGAAGCAGATGGTATCACTTCAGGAGTTATTGTGATGAAGTAACTGGGTGCACTTTTTCTCTCAGTTATTGTAAATTTACTGGTGTGTAAAGGCCTCTGTTTTACAGGCCAAACTATTGGGGTTGATATAATTCCTATGTTTTTGATGCCTCTTATCTTAGAATCTTCTTGCCACTGTTGAATTGGTTGAGAAGAGTCAGCTGAATTTCTCTTGACTCTGAAGACCATTGTAGCAGGATTTTTCATTTCCTGCAGGACTGTATACAGCAAGTCATTCAATTAATAAATGAAAAACATTACTTAAGGAAATTACTTTGACATCAAATACAGCTCAAAGACTGATTTTGAAGAAATCATTTATTTCAGCAGGAACTGAAACACTATAGCAGCACTATATAGACTGAGTTCTGGTATGCAAAGTTTAAACAAGAAATTTAGGCAATTTATTCTTAAATTGTTAATTATACTAGACTGCTTCCACCGATTTACATTTTTCAAAATGTATACAGGAGACAGAAATATGTACTTCAGTCCTGTTCTTTGTCTGATCAAACTTTTATTATATTCATTATTACAGATTGTGCAGGAACACAGAATTCTCTTTGAATGAGCTCCTGTTCATAAATTTTATTACATTATCTAGCACCTGTAAAGTATTTTTATTTTTATACACCCCAAGTTATGCTCTACCTTGGCTTACCCTTGTACCTATATAGCTGTTTATTGCTCTCTTTATAATTCTGTATCTAATTCTAATTTCATTGGCATTGAAATTGAAAATACTCAACTCCAGAATCTGACACTGTTTTAAAGCAAGAATAGGCAAGCTAAGAGACTAATCTTGGTCCTCCCTTCTCCAATCTGTATATTTCTTAAAATATATTTCTTGCTTTACCAGGGTCTCTTGAATATTGCAGGATCCTAAAAGAAATATCAATTTTCATGGTTATTTTTAGGAGAGAGGTAACAATCACTTTCAAATGGATTTGGATTGTTCTTAATGATGTTACTTAAATTATTGACCCTGACAGAAGTATGTGAATAATTTTATATAGCCCCTCTGGATAACTACTCCTACAGAGAACTACATTAAGATTGCTTTTGCAAAATTGTTAGCATTTGAAGAAGTCTTTTAGAAAATCTTCCTTCCGCACAGGAAATCTTGCTTATCCAAAATTGTTATTTGACACAAACCTCTTTAAGCAGTGTTCGCTGAAACAAAATCTGACACTCATATATAATGTAAGTATGCTCAAAAGATAAAAATGATGTAACATAATCAAAGAAAATATAACATTAAATTTCTTACCATCCATTATTTTATCGGTTCTGTTAGTATCAGGCATGTTAGTGGTAACAGTGGGTGATGGAGTGGTTGAACTTACAGTAGCTGGTAACAAAGATGAAAAAGAATTGAACTTATATGGAATATGAATGTTAATAAGGTCAGGCAAAATAGGAATACATGAAAAACAAACAGAGGAAATGACTTTTAAACGACTGGATCCATGTACAACATAAATCACACATATATACTCATTAGACTCATTTCAAATTCCAATCTGCTATATGTTTTTAAACAAGTCTCATTTGTTCACTTGAATTTGACAAAACAATGCCCCACAAACAATTTAACAATAGTGTATGGGTGAATTCATGCTTAAAACTTCTCACTTTTAAAAATCAAATCAGGAACTGATGAATGATATAAATTATTATACACTATTTCTTAGTGACCAATGTAGACAAATGTGTTATAAAACAAGCTGCTTCTTGCAATGGCTGCAACAAAGATACTAATGCAGATGTTGACAAATAATGCTGTTAGCTGTAATTGAGATGAATTGAACAAATATGGATGTGAAATTTTGCTAAAACATACGTTGCATTCTTTTAAAAAAATGATAGTAACATGAATTTATCTTCAGTTTTGTTACAGTATATTAACAAACACTATCTTTCATTAGTTAATAAAGCAGATATTTCAATCCTTAACATATTGTTTGCAAGTGAGCCACCGACTTGTAAATTTAATATCAAACCTGTCAGCTGAACAATACTATTTGTTTGAAATGAAGTACAGCATAGTCCACCTGTGAGCATAAAAATTCAAAATAATATTCTCTTAATGAGAAAAAGGAGCTTTTATAAATAGCATAACATTTGCTCTGCATCTATCTGCCAACTGTGTCAGCTTCTAATTAATACCTGCATAATGACCACAACAAGATTACATTTTCAAGTTGCCTCAATTTCAGAAGTCTTTTGTATTGGCAATCAGAGAGTACCACTCATGATTGGGAATATTCAAAAACAGATGCATGCTCATCTTTTAAGAACATCAACCAATTGAGACATTCTATTTAAAAAAAATAAGTCAGTATATATTTTGTCAATATATATTTTGTTAGAAAAAATGCATTGACAACAGCTCAGTCAAAAACATCTGCTGTAATATTTGTTTAGTAACTATTCCTATTAACAGTGTGAACTATAGAACTACATGAAATCAAACATTTTTTTTCCTGCAAGCTCAGAATGAAACATACCTTATTTAAATAGAACAAAGCTTCAAATTTTAGAAAAAATGATGGGAATTTCAAATCACTTATTGCACACTTGCATTCACCTAGGGTCATGATAGTAGATAGAACTATAGTCTATCCTGAATGACATCTATTTTTTGATTATTAATGAGACAAATTTTGAGACTTTCTCTGTAGAATGATCAGAATTATTGATGTTGCAATATCTTCAACTATGCAACATAGTATTAACTATGTAGCATAATATTAAAAGAACTGCAGAATAAGAGATAATATTTATAGATTGAACTGAATTTGAAACAAACTTATAACAAGAAACTGTCAAATTTCAATTTCAGATGAAACTATTAAGCAGATTCTAATTGATATTAACATTTCACAAACTCAGCAACTTGGAAATTCAAATGCCAAAACTAAATAGTTTATTAGGAATTTTGAAATCATAGTCTCTGTCTAATCTATACTGATTGACTCCCAGAATTCTGAACGATTTCTGCTAAAATATATTATAAATATATTAGAAAATCCTGTTATTCGGTTGCTTTATGAATTGAAAAATTGTTGGGTGTACTTCATCTATCCCATTTCTTTCACAAATCCATGTTCACAATTTCTTTCTACCTCCTAAATCTCATGCTTATATTTTTTTCGGTGCTAGATTAGGACAACAGAAAGTTGTTAATCTTCAAAAGATTTCAGACTCCCATCACACAAAGACAGGACCATACAACACAGCACAAGTACAGCAGGATATAGCTACCCAGTTAATAAAAACTGAACTATAGCCTTGCAACGACTACTTGACTATATTCCATATCTGACACAACTGCACATAACAATATCCTGTCAGCATTTTCTTCACCCAATTTGCAATGTAGTAAAGCCTTCATGATTAAGTCAAAAACAGAAATGTGAAAGAAATATACATATGCCTGTCCCAGAGGAACCAACTTTCCATTCAGAATAAAATTCTTCACCGGTCATTTCAGATAATATAGCTCAAACCATCTTCCAACTGAAATAATTTAGTACATTATTTCATATCTCTCTCCCTCCCACCCCACCTCTCTCTCTCTCTCTCTCTCTCTCTCTCTCTCTCTCTCTCTCTCTGTCTCTCTCTCTCACATACACACATTAAATGACTAAATCTAATAACTGTTTTCTGAATGCCTACTGTACTAAGGCATTCAACAAGTATAAACACGGTTTTACAGCTATGTGACTTATCTTACAAATCATGTCATTATGAATCAGAAAATTAATGAAATCTTCATGCTATATTATCTTTTCACTGCAAAATATTAAAGGAGATAAGCAATGATGTAGAATTAATGGTAAAGATAAATGGGCAAACTGTAATTTATATCTGGAACTATCTGCCCCACAGATGTTCAACTAACAGTCATGACAATTTATTTCTTTTTTAATATTAAGAACTAAAATTACCCAAAGTATTAAGAACATTCATAAAGAAAAAGAGAGAAAAGGAGAAATAAAGAAAAAAACTAAATGTATAAAAAGAAAGTAAGTACTAGAGAAAAGGGAAAAAAGATATAAGACTTTGTTATATTTGTAATGTCTAAGTTTGATTTTTATGAGCAGCATAATATAAGAAAGCAAAGGGGAAAAAAGATCAAAATCAAAAAATGCTTTCCTAACTGCTTGGCCTATAGAGGAACAATACGAGTTTTCTTTTGCTTCTCAAAAAATAAAATAAAATCCTCCCACAGAAACTCTATGTATAATTTTGACACTACAGAGAGTAAAACATGAATCAAGAACATGAATCAAGATAAATCACCACAAGTCGTACTAACTAACTAGTACCTGTATAACCAAACTAACACTGCATTAAGTCTTAAGGAGAATGCTGAGATCCATTAGCTTGCTCAAACCCTTGTTGTGTCAAAATAACAAGTACGCTTCTGAAATATACTATAGCAACAAAGTAAATGAAGGAAAAAAATACATTAGAGCCTGGAAGTGTTGATTATCTACAAAATTTAAAATATGTAATAGAAAACATAGAGTTATTTTTCTTTTCCTTCCACATTTGGTTTGTCCATTTCTCTCTCAGCTATCATATTCCTCCTCTGTATATTTTCCATTTAAATCTTAAAGCCTGATAAAGAAAAGGTAGCAATAAATTCTGACTCATCAGACTAGTGTTAGTTTCTTACCTCGGCAAAGGCTTCCTGTAGTGGTACAGCTAGTTGGTTCAACTGTTGGCAAGGGGACGAGATATGAGCCTTTAAAAAAAAAGGAGAGACAAACAAGATTTGCCTTTTAATGAGCAACTCAGCGAGATAGCTAAATAAACTGCTTTAGTAAATACAAAGTAAAAGCAAAAAGTGTAAACAGATCACTAAATAAATATGCTGAATATAACAGTAGATACTATAGTGTCTTTTGTTAACTCGGTAAAGGTTGAGGGGCTAGCTTGAAACTTTTTTAGTGTTCCATAAAATCTGATACACAAGTGTAAACACAAACGTTTCTAGCTTATCTCCCTAGTTATGATTCAGGCAAATGTAATGGCATGCTGCCTCATTCAAGGAAGACAAAATACACTAATAGTTCATTTTTCACAAAAAGACAAAAGGATAGAAGCTCCTTATGAAATTAGACACATAGCCTATGTTCTATAAGCCAATTGTGACAGAACACTATTCCAATGCCAATGTTAAATAAGATTCAGCTGTTAGACTTGTTCATTTCTGTGCATGAAATGAGTTGTGGCAGCAGAGAGGGGAACATCTTGTCTTTCACCACAGATGGCACAATTAATGGAGGTAGGCTTGGATGTTCCTCAGAATAATGGCTCCCTTTTTTGAGGATATAATTAGAAATTGAGGATTTTCAACTTTAAAGAAAACCATACTTGCTTCCTGATGCTATCTGTATGTATAAATGAAATTGTAACAGTTTTCCCCTTCATGTAAACAATAATGGTTGTGATGATATGCACAAAAGTTCTGGATCAAAAAGTAAAACGCTCATTTTATAAATGAAAAACATTCTTTTAAAGGAGAGTATTTGTAGTTGGGGTTGAAATGTGGGGCCCTTGGTGCTCTCTGAACTTGGTTGTTTTCTTGCAGGCGTTTCATTACCCAAACTAGAGTAACGTCACTGTTATACAGATGTTTGTGTAGTGTAGCATTGCTAGCAGAAGCCTATGTTATCACTTTCTTTCTGCACATTGCTTTCAAAATCATACCATAGACTGAAGGCTCCCTTTCAAATGCACTATATTGCCTATACAGTATATTGTAGGAGGTGGGCCATGTCAGTAGTACCTGTAATGTGCCTCCCAAACAACCACATCTCCATAACCTGATCTCTCCTGCCTTCTGCATTCCCCCCCTGCCTCATCCTAATACAGAGGTCTCCAAACTTGGTAACTTTAAGACTTTTGGACTTCAACTCCCAGAATTCCCCAGCCAGCTTCCACAAGTCTTAAGTTTGCCAAGTTTGGGGACCCCTGTCCTAATGTATTTAATCTCCCATAAGCCAAGATTATGCGCCTGATGAAATTAACTGCAGCCCCCCAAATGTTACACCTTAAATAAAATGGTTAGTCTCAAAAGACTGTATCACCTACTATAAACCATGAAGCATGAAATACTTGAAAGCTTTTGTGAGTGAGTTCTGTTACAAAGTAGGCATCTAAAGCAATAAAGCTTTAAAGTTATATGTACTCCTTACAATTTCCTTGCCCTTCTGAAAATTTTTGAGATTTCCTGCTTGGGGGCACCTCTACAACATAAAGATACAAATTACTTACTAACAAAAGCTGAAGGAGAAAGCAAGTGCTTTTTTATTTTAACCTAATCATGTGTGAAAGAATTTTACAAAGTCCTTTTTTCTAATCCGCAAAAGAAGGATCACCCCCCCCACACACACACTTTTGAAAACTTCTAGATTGAAAAGGTAGCCCACTGGACCTAAACGTCTAAAATTTGGCACATGACCCCATATCTTTGGCTCAACAGGATGGCAATGTCTAGCATGACTAATCTTGAAAAACTAAGCTAGACCGGATAGAAATTGGATCACAAGTCACTTCTATTCACTGAGTTCAGGAACAAAGCTCAATTTGAAGAAGACTGTACTTATTCCTCTTAGTAGAGGTTATTCTATCTATCTGAGTCTTTTTTCAAAAAAAATTGCAATCTTTTTTGATTGCCCATTACAATCAGAGCAGAGGCACAAACTTAAACATTCTTGAACTGTGATTTTGATTTATGTCATACCTGAATTATGTGACTTCTGAAACAGAGTGTGTGATTAACTGGATCTAATCATACCTATTGGTATGTGATCAGCATATACCCTTAATAAAAATCAAGGATGTATTGAAATTAAATTAGATGGGAACAAGAATGTTTTGATCTAATTAGTTTCCCTTGCAACAGAATTTCAGGAAAGAAGTAAAATGTTCATCTTGCTATAAAAGTATCATCAGCTTCATCTTGATCCTCAGTTGGTGGATGTGTACACTGCCCTGCTGTCAGAATCTCTCCAATTTTTACAATCACAACAATCATACAAGGCAGATTAAGGATCAAATATACAGCACAAAGACGTTCATTTCCTTAAAATTGTTGACTATTATTTTGCTATTTGTCTGTGGCAATCACAGGTTGCTAGAGGCAAAATGGCAGGTGGGTCAGAGCAATTGAACTTTTGTCCCTTTTCCATGTGTGCTGCATGCACATTCAAAAGGAAAGGGCTGTGCTCACACAGATGTGCTTGCCATCTTGACCTGTTTGGATATGCCTCTGCAAAATGCCAAGCTCAAAAGCATTCCTCTAATGGTGAGTGCTGCTCTGCCCTCTGAAGACTCCAATGTAATAAGCTTCACGCTTAAAATGAATAGAGAAGAACATTTTTGCATGGAGAGGTTTTTAGGATCCCTCAAATATACAGGTCAAGGCTTAGCCTTTTTATCCAGCTTGGAATTGGAGTAGGTATAATCAAGATAGGTGTGGAACAACTTTATTTTCAGTCTGATAATACCACATTTCTGCATTCTGGACTTCAGTCCACACAGCTCTATGCCAGGTTCTAGGCCAAAGCTGGAAGAAAACTGTTTAAAAAGTACACAGTACTTTATGAAATGGAGAAAGGGCGATTTTATTCTCTCTTCTGTAGGATTTTTCATAAGATGTATAGTTTGACTGCTAGCAAGACACTGATTGCTTAGAAAAATGAAGCCTTGTTTACAAACTTTGTTTCTATTTTGATAACTTATTTTTGAATGGGTAGCATAAAAATAAATGAATACATTTAGTTTAAGATCATTAATGTAAAGAGAAGCATAATATAACACTTAATGCTATATAGTTTTTGTTACTAATTGTAGCCTGTAATACAATTCAATAAACAATAAAACGTAACAATTTGACAATTGTTAAACTTACAACATTGTGCATACAGCTCATTAAAAAATCTATTAAAAAAGCCTTTGAAATCAGTTTGTGCTGTAGTGGTTAAGGGGCTGAGCTTGTCAGGACAGATTCTAATTTTAAGGGTCAGCCATGGAAACTCACTGAATGACTTTTAGCCAGTCACTGTTTCTCAGCCCAGCTACTTGATCACATTGTTATTATGGGAAAAAATAAGAGAAAGGAATATTTTGTGTAACACCTTAAGCTCCTGAACAAAACAGTGGGATATAAATTGAATAAATAAATAAACGCATTACTGAGGTCCTGAATTCACAAGTTACCTACAGAATAATACATATACTGGGGCATATGAATCTTATAGCTAAACAAGTTAAAAAAAAATGTGGAATGAGCATCTTAATTCATTTTCACTACAAACAAAGTTTCTTTCTGACCTAAATCATCTTAAATAGCTGTACCAAAGAGAAAAGCCTAAATTTAGAAAAGAAACTCACCACAACTCAAGTTGTTCTCTGCTTTTAGAAATGTTGTTGGAATACTCCAGAAATCATTTTCCCAGTCAATAATGTTACCTTTCTCATCACAGGTGAGGTTGAAAAGTGATTGGGAATTCATTGTAAAATTCCAAAGCCGGAAGTTGTACATATCTCCAGGTAAAGGGCTTGTGTCTTCTCTGTCAGAACTCAGAACCAACTTTCCATTACCAGGAATCACTTTTTCAGAAGTATCTAAACAATGGACTGTTTTATACATCCCTTTGACATTTATACCTACTGTGCCTGATGAGCTATCCCATACAATGCAAAGCTCTTCAAATGTTTCTGTGAAAATGTCCTCATCTGGACCAATGTTAAGAGCATCATTTAAAAAACACTTTGAGTCTGAAATAAAAACGAAGTGCCCTTGTTTCGTTTTGCCAAAGCTGAAGAATTCCACAGAGGAATCACCATAGGAGAAAGCCTTCCATTCATAGTTATTACTGTTGTTTGCTCTTGCTTCAAAGCACAGGGTGAACTGATTAAGATCTGGGACTTGGACAGAATTTGCCAGAGACACAGAATCAGAATCTAGATATTGCGGAATGATAACCTTTTGATTCTTCAACGATACAGCAACTAGAACATAGAAAGAAAACGTTTTCAGAATCAACTACCATCAAGTTTTATTAAAAGTAATATAACACTTTTTATCAATCTATAATTAAACTCATCAGTCAGAAATATATGCTGAGATATTATTGTAGTCAATTAACATAATATGACCATTTGATTCCTACAAAATGTGAATAAATTAATTGCAGAAAATGTTTTGGATACATTACCTGTTGTACTAGACAAAGCAGTAAACCAGTAACCTGAAACGGCCCTTTCATTTCTTTATGCATTGCTCCCAGTGGGTGATTTTATACGACTACATTAAACTGAAGAAATTAATACCAGACATCTTTTTCAATCTGAGCAGAGAGTGCCCTGCCATGTTATTTCACAAATAAAAGCTCTTTGTTTACAAACTTTTGAATTTCAGTTGAATAAATCTATTCACATTTCATCACAAAACAGCTTACTAAATATACCAGCAGTCACATCTGGCTGCCATATCTTTTGTATCTATACTTGGGAATGAATCTGAGTATTTTAATTGAACTTTACTTTGCAGTAAGCATACATAAGATGGTAGCCATAATGCTGATCAATATTTAACCCTTAAAATCCTATTCATTCCTATCTTGCCAAGCATGATTCTGAAGTCATTTGTAATTGATTCCATTTGATATACATTGTGTTAGTTATAAATATTAACACATTAATTAAAGGTTCCTATAGAAAATACAGCAGCATAAATATCCTTCCTCCATAAATAATATAAATTTAGCCACATCATCAAGCAGAGGAAAGTGACTGCTTTAAAATACTGGGGAGGGGAATTATGAAAGAGCACTTAATAGCAATAGCACTAGACTTATATATCGCTTCATAGTTTTTTACAGCTCTCCCTAAGTGGTTTACAGAGTCACTATAATTTCCCCAATTATCTGGGTCCTCATTTTACCAACCTCAGAAGGATGGAAAGCTGAGTTGACCTTGAGCTGGTGAGAAACGAATTGTTGGACAGCTGGCAGTCAGCAGAAGTAGTCTGCAGTACTGCATTCTAACCACTGTGCCACCATGGCTCTTAATTGTGTATTATTGCTACATTTTTACTGATAAAAGGGAACGATATTCTGATTTAGCTACCATGTAAATCAACTGGTTTGCCTTAGCAACAAGAAACTATTTCCTGCCTGCTAATACTTTTTGGAAGTCTGTTTGTTTCTCAAAACAAGCAAACAAAAGAAGTGAATACTGATTCCCAGAAGAGAGTCTAAAAAAGAAAAACTGAAAAAAGCCCTTACAAACCCAGCGATGTAATAATGATAACCTGATGCAAATAATTTTAGTAGTAGCTCTAGACAGAAAGGATAAGCATTCTGTCAGTAATTTCACAAGAAACATAGTGTCAAAAATATTAACACATTTCTCTCCTGATATAAAAATGTTTAACTGTTTAAAATATCAACAGCAGGAATTCCTGCTATTGGTATTCCTTTTCAAACAATATCTAAAACATTTTATGTGCCATCAAGTAATTTTTATACCTAGCTATATTTGTAAATGGCAAACATGTATTAAAAAATAACTAATCTCAATGTGCAACCGAACATAGATACCTTTCTCCCCTATGGTGTACAAGTTACATTTTCCTTGAAAAGTTGGAAAGGTCTGTTAAAAAAGCAATTAATAGAGCTTTGATAATCACATTGTGGGAACAAGACATAATGGCCACAGGCCCGGCTAATCAAAAACTAACTTAAAATAGATCAATGGGGCTAATTTGCTGCTATGGGGTATTTAATTATAACTAGGGTTTCATTTTTACTTAGTGAAACAGAAATCTTATTTCATTAATGAAATAGTGATGTGCAGTCATTTTATTAATCTGATTACCTGATGACTAATTTCCTTCATGCATTTAAAGAAAACCTTCTATATAATCTGATTTAGTCTTGAAAGGTTTTGATGTGCAATGAGAAAGCTTAAGGAAATCCACTGCATTCCTATTTGCTTAGTCAGCACATACCATAATCTCATAGTACATTATAGGATATATATGCAAGCAGTACATTATAGGATATATATGCAAGCAGTTCTTGCCTTAAAACCACAACTGGAATCAGGATTTCCATTGCTAAGCAAGGCTATTAAGTGAGTCACACCTGATTTTATGATCCTTTTTTTGCCACGGTTGTTAAACAACTGCAGTTGTTCAATGAATTACATGGTTGTTAAGCAAATTCTACCATATCTATTTATCACTTGTCAGAAGTTGACTGGGAAGGTTGCAAATGGGGATTACATGAACTTGGGACACTGCAACCATTGTGAATTCATAGCAGTTGCCAAGTGCTCAAATTGATCATAGGGATGTTGTGATGGACATAAGAAGGAGAACCAGTTATAAGTCACTTTTTGAATGCCATTGTAACTTCAAATGGTAAGTTGAGGACTACCTGTACTGTGCACAGGATTTAGACAACCACTAGAGGCCAACCAAGAATTAGATATTTGGTTTGTCTTACTGCCATCTGCTCTTCATCTAGAGTTTTACACCCCATATTGGGCCTTATCTTGCAATACAATAACCCTATAAGATCTATATTATTTTCTACAATGCAGATGTAGAAGGCCCAAAGTACAGGAAAATACAGAGAGTGGCAAACTTAAGGCCCTCTTATTGACTTCATGATCGAGAGGAAATCTGAATAAAGAATCATATCTTTTTATCCGCTGGACAACACGGTTTCTTTAAATAAGAGAATTCCGATGGATTTAACTCTATGGTTTGGATACCTTACCTAACCTAGATAAATAATAACATTTTACTTTTACTATCAAATAGATATGATCAAATCACAATCTCAGAAATTTATGTATAGTTCTACAGATTGGAGATCGCAAGAAGTGTATACTTACTTCGGGTATAAGTAGCATTGAAGCCTTTCTTTTGAATGCTAAAGTCACTTGTAAAAGTTACAATCATTTCATTCCTAGATGAGTTAAATGATAAACCTTTGGCAGTCATCCCACAATAGGAATCTTTCTTGTCTCCAGTGTCCAAATTTATGTGATCATATGTGCAACCAGACGCTTCTTCAATATCAAAATCAACAAATGTTATCTGAATGATGTATCCAGAAGGAGCCCTGATGGTCCACTTGCATGCTTGATTGTTGGGATAATTATTGGGGAAGCAAGGAGAGGTAAAAATTCCCGTGGGATTGGACAGCACCATACGACACTCTGAGCAATCTTGAGCTTTGGAACAAAAACAAAAAAAAGTTGAGCCTTGGTTAACATAACAAAATAGAATTTACCACAGCGTAGATATGGTTGATCATTTCGTGCACAATCAAGAAATACTTACATTTAACTGAACTTTGTCTCCTTCAAATATAGCCATAACTCTATAAATCTACTGCTCTATACATGAACAATATGTAATTCATAAACCGGATAAATATATTTCAATATCATTTAATAAATATGTAGGAGACTATCATAAGGCTTTATTTACATCATTTAATGCTGCAGCTTCATCTACCCTCTCCTGGCTGTAAATTCCTTTAATCATGGGAATTTTCCTCTGAATAAACATGCAAGGGCCTCGCTACATTGTAAATAACATTTCATAATTTGTACTTTATATATTTCCAGCATAATTGTTAACTGGCTGCTGAAATATAGTTTGGTTCCAGGGTTAGATGTTTATTTATTTGTTTTTATTCTGCTTTTAATTTAAAAGAAGCCTTAAAGAGAAGGTTTAATAGAACTATTAAAGTACATAAGAATGTGCAAAATAGAACGTATTATAATAAACAATTTTAAACATTTTGACATTTAAGCAACAACAATATACAAAATAAAATACAAATGAAAAATCTTTCTGTGGATTTAGATCAGGACATCCTAAAGGCAAAAATTCAATTTTGATTTCTGTGAGAATTTTGGAAATATATTACATATAGGGAGTCTCTCTGCCTATCAGAAGGATATCTTTCCAAAACCAGGATGAAATGAGACTAAATTTGGTGGAGGAGAACAAGCTGACAAAATAAATATTGAGTTTAAAAATGGGCCAGATCTGAATAGGAGACACACACACACCTCAATACCATCCAAAGATAGAAGCAATTTGGCTGCCATCTACTTTATTTTAAGCACCCCTGGTCACATGAGCTAACACGGACCACCTGCAGCCTACCTGGCTGTACTCCTTAGTGTATTTACATACCCAAACAAGGGAGACGGCAGAAAAACACACAATAAAAGATCTTTCAAAAAACATGTTTTCAGTAGTCTTTTTTAAAGCTGCTGCATGTAGAGGTATGAAGATTTGGGAAACATTTTATTTTCTGGAGAAGGGATAGCAACAAAAAAAGGCTTGCTTGCAAGGGATCAAAGGATACGCTCACAGAAACAGTAGATGGACTCTCCAGTTGACTCTCAGTAGAGGATTTTATATAAAAGAAGGTATTGTTTCAACTTATGGACTCAAGTTATGCGGAGCTTTCAAGGTAATAATGGAAACTTTGTATCTCATCCATAAAAAATAACCAACATATGTAGTACCAGCTGTGTAATTGGTATAATTTGGACAGGCTGAGCTGCTTCTGTAAATGAATCTGGTTGCTGAATTCTGTATTAATGCAAAACAAACTCCATGTAGATCACTATAGATAGATTAGATAGAGTTGGAATTTACCAATACACGCTTTACATTGTTAATCATATTCTTTAAAAAAAAAGGATGCAGTTTACACTGCATTACTGAATATTATAACTGTCTCAATCAGGGGAACAAGAGAAGAATTTAGATCTACAAAATCTCTCAAACTATATAATTGTGCATACATATCCAACACACACACAAAATTATACTTAAGTAATGATTTTTTTAAAAAAATCTAAGGAATGTGATAAACATAGAGAGACATTTGACTAAATCTACCTTACATCAGTCCTATTCCTTATATTTAATATACAGGTAGTCCTCAACTTATTACCACAAATGAGCCCAAAATTTCTGCTGCTAAGCAAGACAGCTGTTGCTTTCTTTTTTCTTTTTGTCTTTTAATGACCCCATAATCCTTTACATCAGGGTGGAGTCGGGGCAACTGTATAGAGCTGAGTGTTTACTGGCCGGATGCCCTTCCTGTCGCCAATGCAGAGTTCGCAGCAGATATTTACTCATTGTGGCCAGAGAGAGAAATATCTGCTGCTACCTAGGATCAAACTCACAACTTCCTGATTGTGAGACAAGAGCTCCATCTCTAGGCCACTGCATCACTCAACCATTACTTCCTTAATGCATGTAAGTAATGTAATGTAATGTAGTTTTGTCCCATTTTATGACCTTTCTTGCCACAGTTCAGAGGTGGTATTCAGCAGGTTCTAACCAGTTCCATAGAACCAATAGCAGAAATTTTGAGTAGTTTGGAGAACCAGCAAATACCACCTCTGACTGGCCCCACCCCCATCTATTCTCTGCCTCCCAAGTCCCATCTGGGTCTTCTTTTGTTGCCCTGCACAAGAGAACGGAGCTGGAAAGCAGGTGCCCTTGCCATGCCCACCTGTTCTGACCCAGGCTTCATCAAACTTAATAAAACACAAACTGAATTTAAAAATAAAACCTTTTTAATGTGACACTGGGTATTACTTGCATTCCCAGCCAAAACTAATAAGACACAGTTCCTCCAGATAAGAACACGCTTTTCAGGACTGTAGAATGCTGCCAAGAAACAGAAGTCCAATTAAAGCTAACATAAACCAACCCAAAAACCCAGCAAAAACCAACCAGAGTACAGAGCTTCACAAAGGACTCGGAGATTACTGAACTGCTTTGCTTCCTGCAAAGCTCCTCGTCATGGAGGACTGACTTTTATCTCTTATGGGAGGGATAATCACCTTCCAGCCTTACTCCCGAGTTGCCCCTTCTGCTTCAGCTGGTCTCACCTTCTAGCAGCTTGGTGCACACGAGCACTGGGAACAGGCTCCCCTGAGACCTGTGCTTCGCTGCTGCCAGACTCCGAAGGCTACGAAGGCAGCACCCCACTCTCAGATGGTCTTGGCCCCCTCCCTGCATCAGATGCAGGACTCTCCCAAGTCCTCACCAATCTCTGATTGGTTTCCTTTCATCCTTGCTGCCCGATACCTCTGCTGTCTGCACCAAGCCATGCCCACCAAGCCACACCATGCCCACCAAGCCATGCCCACAGAACCGGTAGTAATTTTCTTTGAATTCTACCACTGCCACAGTTGTTAAGTTAGTAAGCTGGCTGTGGCTTTTCCATTGACTTTGCTTCTCAGAAAGTTGCAAATGGTGATCAGTGACTCCAGGTCAGATCAATTGTCATATATATGCACCAGTTGCCAAGCACCTGAATTTAGATCACATGACCACAGGGATACTGCAATGATCGTAAATATGAAAACAGTCATAAACCTGCTTTTTTAGTGCCACTGTAACTTCGAATGGACACTAAATGAGCTATTGTAAGTCGAAGGCTACCTACACTTCTCTCTATATATAGGGGCCATGCGGAAAACCATTCAATTTTGAGGAGTTTGGTGAGATATTCTGTTTTTTACTTCATTAAGAAAATTCTACAACTGTCTCGCATTGCAGTTTTGTGACCATGGAAGCAGGGCCACGAAGTCTTAATGCCAGGTTTGAATAAAAAATATTGAAACTGTCCATGAAATTTGAGACTCAGTGCTGTGTACCCAGAGGATTTCTCTGCTGCTTGAAAAGGAGCTCCCAGCAGCTGAAGGGAAGGGTTTGTGTGGTATTTTATGGTTTCTTTGGTTTTTGTTTAATATGCCTGCTACAGTTAAATAATAAAGCTTGAAAACTCCTTGTGCTTACTGTTTCTAGATTCAAAAGAGCCAAAACAATACATTTCTATCAAGCTACTCTTGTTTCCATTATGTCCAAATACCAATTTATACATTGCCACGCTGAGTTCTCTTTTTAAGGATCTGTTCAACTCATCCACACATGATTTTCTCAGTCTTCCTCTTCCTCCCAGCCCTTGTTCTTTTCTTCATGATTCAATCCTCATTCATTCTCTTTATGACCAAATCACTTCAGCAGAATTTTTTTGGATTGCTCAATCATTCAGTCTGCCTTCATTCAACATCAATTCAGTCTCCAATCCCACTGCATTTCATTTTAGTTTTATGCTTCTGAAATACCTGATTCACTTACAAATGATGAAATGGGTACTCTTATCGGTCAGAATTTTAGCTTTTTCTGTTAAACATTCATTTCTCACAGCAAGCCACAAACTGCCCATATATTTCTACCAGCATTTACACGTCTTGAAATATTTCCACTATCCATTTTCAATAAATATTCTGTAAAAATGTTCTACATTTTGATCTAATATTTTACCATTTGCAACATTACCACCTTGCAATTGTTTGTTCCAATTTCTCTGTCAAGTTATTTTGACTAACAAAAACTCTTTTTTCCCATAACATTCTGGGCAAGATAATAGTGAAAACAGTAAAAAGAACAAAAAGAACATGAAATCATAACTGGTCTTGAATTTATAATTTGGCAGTATTTTATATATTCTGCTGATACATAATTCCATCTTCAACTTGTGAGCAATTATTTCTGAAAACCTATGTCTAGCCTTAGCAGAGAAATACTTTGTAAAGTTGTTTGCTGAAGACAAGTTAAAATTGTGGAAACTAATTGTAAGCAAGTAATATTTTGCAAGATATCTGGCAAGCAAGAACATGCTGAATGATTGTGACCCAACTAATTAATTAGTCATAGTCAAAAACACTGCTAGGGCAAAAATTTCAGAACCCAACTTTCAAATTCTCATCCCACCCCACCTCACGCCCACATTTTTCCATTCACACTGTTTAATATTAGGACAGAATTTTCCAGAGTGGAAAAAAAAAACCTTAAATGTTAGACCCAATTCTGCAAATAATTATACCTTGTCATTCAGTGGTGACACTGATGATTTGGTAGAAATACATTCCCATGAACTGGCCAATTATTGTTTACATGTATATCTTGTTGAGTACCAACAAGAAAAGAAATCCCGTTGCCGTGACTCAACTTCCAGATAAATCTAGAATAGTAAGCTATCTAGATCAGGGTTATCAAATTCACCGCTCGCAGACCAGATGTGTCATGCGCTGGCCACACCCACTACCGGTTTAGTGAAGAGGAAAAAGGTCACGATACATCATGTGATGATGCCGTGATGATGCGAGTTTAACACCCCTGATCT